TGACCGCAGTGTTGAAGGCTCTTTTGTTTGGACAAACAAAGAAATTAGCAGTTTTAGGTTCTGGGCTCCAAAGCAACCAAACGACTGGAACAACGAGGATTGTGTGCACACTCTAGGAACGAGGCATGGATACACTTGGAATGACGTACCCTGCAATAATTGCTTCAACTTTACTTGTTTTACAGGTGACAAATCAATTGCTAATGTGTAATTGTTCCATCATGATTTATCACTTGATTGACCAGTAGGCTGATTGACTGAGGCTGGTAAGTTTATCGAGTAAGCTTTGCGGGGAAAAGGCAATGCAAACAGCGCGGAACAACAGTTGCAAAAGAATAATTTCGAAAAATATAGCACGTTAAGATCAGGGCCATTATTGATTTAGACTACACACAAATTGCTAAATATGTATATAAATGAACACATGATTGATCATCGCAGTTATACACAGTTTAAGCAGTTGTGAAACTAAAGCCTGAAAAAGAAATCCAGGCCTGAACGGGATTCGAACCCATGACGTCTGCGATACCGGTGCAGTGCTCTACCAACTGAGCTATCAAGCCAACTGAGAGCTGGTCACGTTGTGAGTTCGTAATATAACCATATAGATGATGATGAAGAAAGCAAGTGAATATAATTGAAAGATCATATATTTGAACTACAGATAAAGGTATGAAGACATGATTGATCATCCCAGATATACACAACTTAAGCAGTTGTGAAATTAAAGGATGAAAGAAATTCAGGCCAGAATGGGATTGGAACCCTGACCTATGCGATACCGATGCAGTGCTCTACCAACTGAGCTATCAAACCAACTGAGAGCTGGTCACATTGTGAGTTCGTAATATAACTATAGATGATGAAAAAAGCAAGTGAATATATTAAAAAACATATATTTGAACTGCGGAGAAAGATATGAAGACATGATTGATCATCGCAGTTATACACACAACTTTAGCAGTTGTGAAATTAAAGGCTGAAAAAATTCAGGCCTGAACGGGATTCGAACCAATGACCTCTGCGATACCGGTGCAGTATTTTACCAACTGAGCTATCAAGCCAACAGAGAGCTGGCTATTTACGTTGTGAGTTCGTAATATACCCGTAGATTTGATCTTTCGTATATTCACTTGCATTCTTCATCATCTACGGTTACTGTACGAGATCACAACGTGACCAGCTCTCAGTTGACTTGATAGCTCAGTTGGTAGAGCACTGCACCGGTATCGCAGACGTCATGGGTTCGAATCCCGTTCAGGCCTGGATTTCTTTTTTTTTCAGGCTTTAATTTCATGACTGCTTAAGTTGAGTATAACTGCGATGATCAATCATGTCTTCCTATTTTTTTCCGCAGTTCAAAATATATGATCTTTGATATATTCACATGTATGTATATAAATGTTGCAGACCTGGACGAGTGTAATACTAACACACACAACTGTGACGTCAATGCGGATTGTGTGAATACCGTGGGCTCATATTCCTGTATGTGTAAAGCTGGATATACCGGTGATGGACAAACTTGCAATGGTAAGAAACAATTAAACACACGAACCGATAATAATCTTACCACTACTACGACTTCTACCACTACGACTGCCACTGCCACTGCCGTTGCCACTGTCGCTGCCGCTGCTGCTGCTGCTGCTACTGCTACTACTACGACTACTTCTACAAATAAACAAACCAACTAAGCAACCAAACAGCCAACAAAGAAATAAATCAATGGAAAAGAAAAAAAAATTAATGCATATAATTACCTAGGAGAGCCACAGTTTTTTAATCCGGTATAAAAAGTAGTTATAGCAGGAAATGTGGATGTTAATGTGGGCATGGTAGCCCTAAAAAAATAAAGCATTGGTTAACTCGCTGTGTTCTTAAATATGATGATGATGAAGATTACAACAGTGGTATCACTTTAAAATCGTAGTTGGGCATGATTTTTTAGACATTGTTTACGCCGACGACTTTCCCCACTTTAGTACGATATTTATTCCTTTAACTCTGTTTTAGACGTCGACGAATGCTCTACAAGCTCTCACAGCTGTGACGTGAATGCTGTCTGTAATAACACGCCTGCATCTCACAACTGCACATGTAAAGCTGGATATTCTGGAGATGGCAATACTTGCAGTGGTACGTTTCNGATCTTATATATATACATGCAAATCTGTAAACTTACTAGGATTTTTAACGTTTTATTTTTTAACTTGTAAATATTGTTCCAATCTGAAGAAGGCCGAAGACCGAAACGTCGCATTAAAAGCCGGAACAGTTAGAAGTTTGCTTCATGACGCCTCATCTTACACTTAACTAAAATTCACATTGAAGCACGGTATCTTTTGATCCTTCTACTGGAAGTCACCGTTTGGAAAACCATATTATTCTGCCTATATATATATATGTATATATTGACCAAAATTAAACGTTGGCTGTAACTGCGGTAAACAAACTTGCCTGGAGCCCATTGTTAACAACAGAACAACAGAAGTGTTAAAACTGTATTGAAATATCACTTTAGTTCGATGTTTAGTCTTTTAACTCTTTTTTAGACGTCGACGAATGCTCTACAAACTCTCACGGTTGTGACGTGAATGCTGTGTGCAATAACACGCATGGATCTCACAATTGCATATGTAAAACTGGGTATTCTGGAGATGGCAATACTTGCAGTGGTACGTTTCTCCTAAAGTTTTGGCATGCTTTAGTTGTCAGATTAACTGAGTCATCGTAATTAATACTATGACATGAATCACTGAACTATACTTATATCTTTATGTACCGTAACTTCTCGTATTAGCACCCAGGGCGCTTGTTTCAAATTTAGGAGAAGACGGGGGCACTTATTCGAAGGGCGCTTAATCGACAGGGGGGAGGGGGGACGCTTATTTAGTTTTTCCCAAATAGTGGCCTGACATATTTTTTAATTCATCATCTGCGCGTAAACAACATCGGGTAGAATGCCTGGACATTATTAATTATTCATGACCGGCGAAGCGGCAAATTTGAATGTTTGC